AACAGGAATTAGAGCACTGACCTGGGAGCGGCGATGACAGAAGTCAAAGCACCGTGTTCCTCAGTACACGTGAGTGTTAAGTCAGTTTATACATCAACAATGATGATTCAAAATAATACATTATTTACAGAGTATTTTTGCATATTATTAAAAAAATTAAAAGAAAAAACTTTTTAAAATAAAATATTTTAAAAAAGGTTAGGTTTTCACTGACATAAAGGAAGACAACTTTTAAAATGATAAAACTCTCTTTGTAAGTTTCATATTTTTTATACAAAGAGGGAGCAACAGCAATAATATCTTTGTACCCAAAAGCTAGCGTTTATTAATTGTATGAAAATTAGATAGGCTTCGTTGAGGTATTACATCAAAGCATATTAATTTACAGAGAATTTTGCGACCCGGTCATATTGGAACCTAGTGTAAATTAGAGATGCAAGAACGGGCCAACTCGTTCTCTTTAGGCCCACGCGGGCCGTGGGCCAGGCCGACTCAACTCACAATATTTGTGAGTCGGGTCGAGCCGTATAAGAATTATCTTGACCCAGCGCACACCACGAAGTAATTTTACGTGGGCCAAATTAGGACCCTCTTGGCCCATCATAGGTTTAGATGAACCAACCTATTTAAGCATGAAATTTTTAATTTTTAAGTTTTAAACAAGTTAACAAATATAAAAGTTTGAATAGTCAATGAAAATATGAAAAATAATATTTATTTACGATTGCCTCCTTAAAAACGTTTCCAAGGAAAACCCAGTGGGACAAAACCTTAATAAGAAAAAAAGAGTACAATCAGAATAATTATACATAAGATGTTTACAAAATTACTTAAAAAAGAAAAAAAAAACATAAAATAAATAAGATAAATAAAATAAATAAATATTGTTCGTAATTACAACGTATTATTACTCCCAGTGGGAGTATTAAAAATGTCTAAATTTTCAAAGTCATTAACTCAATCATCTTGAACTTGTTGGCTTCTTATGCGAGCATCCTCCCAATATTTGACGTACATTATTGTCTCCAGAATATCATCACTCATATGTGCACGCCGTTCATCAAGTACTCTACCACTGCAACTAAATACTTGTTCACTTGTAACTGTGGACACTGGTATGGTTAGTATATCACGTGCCATTCTAAAGGGCACAGGAAAAGTTCTTGACTGTGATCTTCAAAATGAAAAAATATCGAACTTATTGAAATCATTACCACCACCTTGCTCATTGAAAATGAATGCCGCAAAACTTGTTTCCAGATAGTTTTCTAATTCACTACGTGATGAAGATGTGGATGATGCACCGAAATTATATCTGGTGTAGCTAATCATACTTTTCCATGGAGAACCATGTGATACAAATGTAGTACTCGCTAAGGGTGTAGGGGATACTGTTTGACCTCCTCCATATTTTTCATCATATGCCGTAAATATATTGTTAACTTTTGCTTGCATATTTTGAATGGTGATGATGTCAGAATGCACCGTCAGTTTTTCAACACCAGCTAATTTAACTCTTGAATCCAATACAACGGCTATGCAATACAAAGGTGAAACACACTCCCAATCATTTTAAATTTTTGTTCCATGAACTCAACAGATTCTCTAAACATGTCAAAATCTCTATGCATATCGAAGGTTGCAGGAATGTCATACAATTAATGTAATGCATGAGTAGAGGTGGGATAGTACACACCTGAGTGTTGGAGAGTAGCTTCATAAAAAAACCTTCAAGAAATTGTAGAAGCATGAAGCAATTTTGCAATCAAATTCTTAAAGCGGCTCAGTTGGATTCTTCAAGTTGTAATACGCAGTTATGACCTCTTTGTATGGTAGGCATGCGTATAGCATCAAATATGTTGAATTCTACCGATGTCCCACGTCAGTAGGAAGTCTTTTGGGTTTCACGCTTGCTCTATTGTAAAGTTTAGCAAATTCTTCAATTCAAGAACTAGAACTTGCTATGTAACCCAAGGCCGTTTGAATATTTTCCAAATAACCTTGAAAAAATTTCATGCCATTTTGAACACACAAGTTAATAATATGACAAACACATCTTTGGTGAAAAGTGTTCTGCTATGTTATAGTCTCAAAGTTGTCTAGAAAAGGTCAATAGCAACAGTATTAGCAGATGCATTGTCAAATGTGATGCTCAAAATCTTTTCTTTAATGCCATAAAAATAAAAAATTTCCATGATGACATCATGAATGACCTTGGCATCATGAGGATAAGGCATTGATCGAAAAACAATTAACCTTTTTTTGAAAAGACCAATCTTTATCCATATAATGTGCAGTTACACATATATAATTAGTTTTGGTGCGACCTTCCCACAAATCAGATGTGCATGCAACAGATGCAGTGAATGAACTAAATTCAGTTACTAAATTTTTCCTCATTGAATGAAAAACTTTCATGGTTTCAACTCTTGTAGTAGTTCTTGAAACACTCTTATATTGTAGATTATTAGCATTTTGAATGTACTCCTCAAAGGCCGGATCATCAGCAAGACTAATTGGTCGTTGAGCACTAGCCAAATATCTAGTGTGCCATTCTCTAGCTCTTTGTTGTTCATATGACCAATTGGTAACACTACCATCAGAGCTAAATTAAAGTGTTTGTTGATGACAATCAACACCACTTATACCATGCTTAGCTTCGCACTTTTTGCGATGTCTCTCTAAGTGACCAGTACCAAAATAGGATTTACTTGTGTAGTCTTGTTTGCACACTTTGCAAATTGCACGTTCTTATATTACACCATTCTCCTTTTTACGCATTACTAGATCAAAATAATTCCAAACTGGTGAAGTTCGTTACAGTTTCCTTTTGCATTTACGAATCACATCAGAGGAGCCACCAACTTGAGATAGTGAATCAGCTCTAATTTCTTCAAGTGGATCATCAAATTGTTCTTCTTCGTTGATCACCAAATTTGAAACATTAGTTCTCCTTCCATGTAATGATGTCATTGCTTCAATAAAAAATAACAATAAATTAACATAACACTATCAATAAAATTAAATAAAATAATTATACAATAAAATTAACTTATAACAATATAAAATTAATGAACAACAAATGAAATAAATTATACCTTTAAGTTTTTTTTTTTCCTTTTAGAAGAACTATAAGTAAACTAAAAAAAATAGACAATACAAAGTAGACAATACGTAAGATTTAAGAAGTTTGTTGAATGACTATGACCTAGTTCACTTTGTAGATTTGAGTTTTCAATTCAAGTTGAGATGTGACATTTTTTAAGAGTTTTTTACTAGAGTAAAAAAAGTTAAATGTGACATTTTTTAAGAATTTTTTATTGTAAAAATCTAAAATTAAAAACTCAAATCGGTGAAATGAACGAGACCACCGGTGAAATGAATGTTCAAATATAAAGTTTCAACGCACATTTATAGGTAAAAAAGTTTATTTTTTATTTATTTTTAGTTTTTTTCTTTCAAATGTGATTTGATTAGACAATACCATTACACATTGCAGACCTTCCTTCTGAACCTCTATGTTAGGCCTGCACCCTTTATAATTGCATGAGGGGAATCTAATGCCATATTCACTCACGGGTGAATATGGCATGTATGCAGTGTACATAGCCTGAGAGGGTTGCGCGGCCACACAAATGAGAAGCTGGCTCATTGTAGGCCTATATGGGCCTTACATGGCCCGAAATGAGCAGACCCATTATGGCCCTAGACGGGCAGGTCATTTATAATTTTTTAGGGAGAAAGAGAAAAATAAGCTAAGACTTGAGATGAATTAAAATTAATAGGCCAATAGTTTACATAAGTTAATAAATAGGCCAAATTACTATTTTCGCCCATAACTAGTCTGGTTATGAACCATAACTTGACAAGTTATTGTCCATAACTTGTCTGGCTATGAACCATAACTTGACAAGTTTATCCATAACTTATCTGGTTATAAACTATAACTTAACAAGTTATGGCCTATTAATTTCTATAACTAAAAATTAGCCTATATACTTTCTTAAACTTTTCATATTGGCATATTTTATACTATGCTGGGTTGGCCTATAAATCAATATATGTTGGTCAAGTCCAATCTATTAATATTTATAAATTAAATTGTGTCTTGAAACCCATCACTGTCATTGTGTCAGGATGGGGTGTCAGGATGGGTCTGAATCAGCCTACGGGCCCAATCTATTGTTGCATCTATAGTGTAAGGGGACGTTTATTTTCTACATTCATCTCTGATTATGAATCATGATTTATGATTCTCTACAGTATTTTTTCTCGCAAAAAATACATGTAAAACAAGAATGATTCTGAATCATGATTCTAAATATATAAACTAAACGTCTTCTAAATGATGCAGAATATGAAAATGGAAAAGTCCTTTTTTTTTAATATATTAGCTTCGTTGCAAAGGAGCTTTCTATTCGATGTCGCATCAAATGCGTATTTTTTGAAGAATTCTTATTTTCTAAATTGAAAATGTTCTCTCTTTTTCTTTTCATGAAAGCACTGACAATTACTTGTAATAGTTTTTCTTTCTTTCTTTGTTTTTTTTTTAAGCTTTCTACAATTACTTGTAATTAGGGCTGGCAAATCGTGTCGACGGGTCGTGTTAGTGTCGGGTTGAAGAAATTTTTTTTTGAAAAACTCCCAACACTAACACGACCTGTGACACGACGGGTTGAGAAAACACTAACACTAACACGACCCGTCCAGACACGGATTGACACTAACACGACACGCAATAACCCGTGAATTAGGACTCGAAATTCACCTGCATTCCTGACTCGAAATCGACCCGAACCTGTAATAGATATGTCACTTTTTTAAACAATTTGAAGCACTAAAATTACATTAAAAACACTAAATTTACATTAAAAACAACATGAATCAGATATGTCTTCAAAATAACGTCTAACTACATACCAAAGTCCAATAAAATAACAAAGTTCAATCGGATAACCAACTCCAACTAAATAATAAAGCTAGAATTATCTTCCAAGTGTTCAAGAGTTAAGAGCAACCGAGTTTGAAGCTTGAGCATTATCATTCAAGCTAAGAGAAACTACATCCTTTGTCATCTCATTCAAATCCTCAAGTAATGCCTTATCATGATCACCTAAGTTAACATCCAACAAGATTTAAAAATAATAATTTTAGAAATAGCTATAATAAAATTTACTAAACCGATTCAAAAGATAAGTGTAAAATACTTTACCTTCATTTCCAAATAACCAGTCTTTAGTACAGAGAAGTGCTTCAACAGTTTCACTCTTAAGTGAGCTTCGAAATTGATCCAACACACGACCACCATTACTAAATGCTGCCTCTGATGCAACTGTTGATACCGGGATGCTTAAGATGTCACGAGCCATCATGGCAAGAATAGGATAGCGGAATTGATTTGACTTCCAAAATGCAAGAATATCTAAAGGTGCATTCCTATTTACCCTAGGCTCATCCAAGTAAAGCTCTAATTGAGATTTTTGGGGAACATCAGAGAAGTCATCATCAACAAGATCATCAAATTCCTACATAAGATTAAAAAAAATGCTTAGACAATATAAGTACATATATGCAATATTTCAAAGTGAATAAGATTAGGGAATATATGAAATAAACATTACCTTGAGTAATTCATCTTCGATGTCAACAGCCATAGTTGGTACTGCATTATTCTTACTTTCTTTCTTTAAAACAGAAGGTGATACACCTGCACCTGTGCCTTGGTCACACTTAGCTTTATACTCTTCAAAAAGGCGCTCCAACTTGTTCCGCATTGATGCCAACTCAATTGAGTTTTCTCCATAAGCCTTCTTGTAGAAAAACTCAACAATTTGCATCTTATACCGAGGATCAAATACCAATGCTATGGATAAAATAGGGCTGAAATCTGACCAATACTTCTGAAACTTTCCCCACATTTGCCATGCCATATCCTTCAAATAACCATCTTCACTTTCCAAGGCTCCTTTCAATGTCACATAGCAGTTCATAATTTTTGGAAAATATAAGTTGGAAGTGGTGTATTTAGTGCCAGAAAATACAAGTGTTGCATCATAAAACACTTTCAAATACTTGTGAGCTTTCTCAACTTTTTCCCATTCATCACTAGAAAGGTGATGCTTGTAATTGGAATCACTTAACTCCAAATGTTGAAAAGCCCGCCTGAAAAAGAGAGCTCTATCAAGCATAAGATAAGTGGAATTCCACCTAGTCACCACATCTTGACACAATCCTTTATTCACATTCAACTACACCAACTTCACACACTCTATAAACTTTTGCTTCCTCATTTGTGATGCTTTTACATATTTGACAGTGTCACGAATGTTTTCAACTGAGTAATCAATCCTTTTCAAACCATCTTGTACAATTAGATTCAAAATATGAGCACAACATCTCAAATGAAAAAATTCCCCATTTGAAGGCAACAAACCATCCAAATTCAATTGTGTTTGCAAGGAAACCACAGAAACATCATTTGAAGTAGCATTATCCAAAGTGATAGTAAAAATCTTTCCCTCAATACCCCAATCATCGTGTAACAAAGAATAAATCTTTTCAGATAGTGCAATCCCAGTGTGTGGAGGTGGCATATTACAAAAGTTTAATATTCTCTTTTGCAATTTCCAATTCTTGTCAACAAAGTGAGCAGTAAGACACAAATATCCATCACTAGTCAAAGAACTCCACAAATCAGATGTCAACGAAATTCTACCAGGGCATGCAATCACCATATTCTTAATCTTTACTTTCTCCTTCTCATACATCTTAAGACAAATAGCCTTAGCAGTGTTTCTAAAGATTAATTCTACATCAGGATATAAATACTGTAGCATTGCTCTTAACCCCTTGTACTCAACAAACTGGAATGGCAAATCATGCATAATAATACAAGATGCAACCAACTCACGCCATTTTTCAGAGTCAAACTTGCAAGTATCAAGAGATAAAGTTCCACTATCACGAGAGATAAGCATTTGACCGATGTCACGAGTATCTCTTTTCTTACAAGTTTTAATATGGCGACTCATATTACCTGTTCCATATTTGCTTAAAGCAAGATATTGCTGGCCGCATTTCTTACAAGCACTTCGAACCTTTCCATCTGCCCCCAAAGGAAGTATGTCGAAAAATTTCGACACTTTTGACTTCAAAGTTTTTTTCAGCGGTTTCGCAGAGCTCGTATTAGCAAAGAAACTCTGTTCAACCTCAACTTCAAACACGTCATCTTCAAGGTCCACTCGCATTTCACTATTACCTTCACCTTCAACATCTTCACTTACAACCTCTAAATTTACTTTCTCCATCTAAAAAAAAGACAAATCCATTTAAAATTAGAATGAAATATCCTTTGATTGATAATAAATATGTTAAAAAAAAGGACAATAAAAGGAACAAATAACATCAACATGCTACGAGTATCTATTTGATGAAATGTCATATGATCTAAAGCAACATCTCTTTGCTGCTGTCGCTGTCATTATAAGATAGTTATCTATATCATTGTGTAATTAGCTTATAATGACAAATCATAGCATTTAGACAGAGGATTTAATGAGCGGAGCCACTTTAGCAAATAATCTACCAGCAAAATTAAATCTACCAACTGATTCTTCTTCGTACCAGCAAATAATCAACCAGCCTAAGAAAGAAGAAGAAGTTGCTTACCAGCCTAAGAAATTTCAAATCTACCAGCAAATTTCGTGCAATAACAGAGAATGGGGATGAGATGTTTACCTTCGAGAAGTCCAACCGTCGAGCCGTTGAGAAGGCGAAGATAATCGACCAAGGGGCCGTTGAGAGAGCCGTGAGGGGGCGGCTGAACAGTGAGGTGAGAGAGAAGAGCGAGAAGAGAGAGAAAAGAGAAGGGGTGGCTGAACCGTGAGGTGAGAGCGAAGAGCAAGAAGAGAGGAGGCGGCTGCTAGAGAAGAGAAGAGGAATGGCATGCGTGACTGTGAGAAATGAGAAAGAAGAAATGAAAGGGGGTGAGGCTGCTGCAAATGAGGGTGATCAGAAGGAAGAAAAGTGTGTGTGTGCGTGTGTGGGTGTGAGGGAGGATTAGGGTTTTTTCTCTTATGAGACTAAATTACTAAAAGGTCCAAAATTAAAAAAAAATAGTATAAAATTAATAAATTAACTAAACGGGTTAATTTAGTGTCATACGGGTTAACATTAACCCGACCCTTTTTCAGACGGGTCAATTTCGGTTGACACTAAATTGACCCGGGGTTGATATTTTTGACACTAACCCGTAAAAAATCGAGTCGTGTCGTCGTGTCGTAACCCGTATTGCCAGCCCTACTTGTAATAGTTACAATCAACTAAATAAGTAGTAGTGTAGGATGGTTCTCTTACCTGAGGTAATTCATCACACAATTTGTATTAATCTCCTTAAAATCAACGAACTCGATTAGTGAGAAAGACATCTATGTCCTTGTCATTGATTTCCATTGGAATTGGTTGCTAGATCATGTTGAAGATGCTAGATAGTCAAGTTGCTGACTCAGCTTCCAGCTTACAGCTGTTAGGCTGTTAATCTGTTGTAACAAACTTTAGAGCTTATTAGTTATGTAATTATAATTCACTGCAGTTTGTATATAAGCTTCATTCTCAGTTAATACGCCAGACCGTCTGTTCAATCACGGGCGGGTGGCCGGTGGTTTTGTGCTGGTGGCGGGCGGGATTTGCCTGCTGCTTGGCTCAATGGGCTGGTTACAGTAAAAGAAACTAAAAAACAAATCTGAAAACAAAAACCAAAATTAAGTGCTTTTTTTTTTTTTTTTTTTTTTGCATTTTTTTAATCAAATAAGAGCTGATGGCACAATTCATACTTCATACTACTTGTTAAAAGAAGAGATAAAAAACACTCAATCAATCCAATTAAAATTAAACAAAACATTCCCAACTTTCATGTTCCAACCATGCCATCCCCATGCACATTAATATTTAGAGTTCTTTGACATACTACTTGAAATTAATAAAACACTTCATCTTCATAGTTCATAGTTCATTTACAATAATTCCAAAATCATTCCATTTCATTTCATTCTCACATAACACAGCAATTTGTAAACCGTAGAGAATAAGCAAATAAGTGCAAAATCTTAAAAAAAAAAAAAACAGTGGAACACAACATTTTGACAACCGTAGTTAAACAAAATAGAGGCGCAAAGCTAAGAGCTTAAGAACAGAGGGACCAGAGAGCATTTCTAAAAGGTTAAAACTTAAAAGCTCTAGCCAAAACCAATAATTCCGAAAAGGTTTAAAAGAAAACCTATTTCAATAATCAAAATGTTGTATTTAATTAACGCATCTATCAAGACAACTGTGAACCAAACAAAAATTCCTCACCACAAAATAGCTTATCACCAAAGTGAAAATAGAAAATAGAAATTAAAAAAATGTACAAAAGCTCAAGCCTAAAACTGATTGGTCCAACTCAATCCAAACCGACCTCAATTGGATTGGATTGAATTGGATGAAACACTAATAATTGGATTTGATAGAGTTTCTAAAAACCTATCTTTAATTAGATTGGTTGTTATATGACTAAAATAGGTTGGATTGGATTGGATAAACACCCCTAATGGCAGATACTCAATACATGTCAATTCGAGCCCATTGTGTTACCTCAGCATCAACAATTCCCACTTTTTTTCTCTTCTTTTTCACAAGTTGATTTTCCTTATTCAGGGCGCAAGTCCTCTTCCATCAATATATATATATATAT